GGTGACAGAGTTGTAGGACAGGCAGCAGGTGTGTCTGGCATGTGTGGGTGGCTTTCGGTCTTCTGTTTGGCCCTTTCTCCCAGCCCTAAACTCGCTGTGTCTGCCCCCCCCTTGTAGGCCGCCCAGGTGGTGCTTATCTCACTGTTTGAGCTAAACACGGCAGAGTTCACCATGCTGCTGGGGGCGCTGCCCAAAACGTTCCAGGATGGAGCCACCAAGCTCCTGCACAACCACATGAAGAACTCCAGCAACATGGGCGTGGTGAGCAACCATGGGGAGGGGATAGGGGACAGGGAATGGCGGGTGGTTGGGAGGAGGTCTCTGATTGGTCTCTGATTGGCTTCTTTCTGTTTTTTTTTTTAATTAGAGTCTAGATGTTACAATGTCGTTTTACCCAACCTGGGACCTGTCATTACATAGTGCTGTGACAGGGGGCACTGTCATCTCCAGACCAGCTGTGGATTTTTGGATGCTTGACCCCCGTCTCTTTGTCCCACAGGCGTCTCCCAGCAGCACCATGGGTCGCCCCCCTCCTCGGCACCCTGGCAGCCGGAGCAGCCCCCTCACCTCCCCCACCAACTGCTCTCATGGGGGGCTATCACCCAGGTATTTTCATCTTCCTCCTAGGCTGTTAGCAGCCTCTTGAGCCCATCCGTGTTCTTAGGAGCTGAAGCAGGCTGGCTGGGCAGGGCTGAGTTCCAGATCTGGTTCTGAGCTAAAGGCTCTGAGCTCTGGGCGTTACGCTTTTCGGAGCTTTGTGCATAACACTATTCAGTGTTCTTGGCGTTACACTGTTCAGTGCTCCAGGCATTACGCTTTTCGGAGCTTTGTGCATAACGCTATTCAGTGTTCTGGGCTGTTCAGTGCTCCAGGCATTACGCTGTTTGGAGCTTTGGGCGTTACACAATTCAGTGCTCCGAGCATTACACTATTCGGAGCTCCGTACCTTACGCTGTTTAGTGCTTTGGGCATTATGCTGTTCGGTGCTCCATGTATTATGTTGTTTGGTGCTCCGGGCGTTATGCTGTTCAGTACTCCTGCGTTACACTATTCGGAGTTCCACACATTGGGGTTTTTGGAGCATTTGGCATTATGCTGTAAAGTGCACTATTCTGAGATCTGCGCATTATGTTATTCAATGTTCAGAGTTCTACGCTGTTCGGTGCAGGATGCATTATGCTGTTCAGTTCAGTACGCATCACACTGTTTAGTACTCCTGATGTTATCCTATTTGGACCTTTGGGCATTACGCTGTTCATTGCTCCAGGCTTTACCCTGTTCAGAGCTCTGCGGGTTATGCTGTTCAGAGCTCCGAGCGTTACGCTGTTCATTGCTCTGGGTGTTACGCTGTTTGGAGCTCCGCGCATTACGCTATTCGGAGCTTTGGCCGTTACGCTGTTCATTGCTACAGGCATTATACAGTTCAGAGCTCCGCGTGTTATACTGTTCATTGCTCCGGCTATTATGCAGTTCAGAGCACTGCTCGTTACGCTGTTTATTGCTCCAGCCATTATGCTGTTCAGAGCTCTACGCGTTACGCTGTTCATTGCTCTGGCCGTTATGCTGTTCAGAGCACTGCGTATTATGCTGTTCATGGCTCCGGGCGTTACGCTGTTCATTGCTCCGTGCATTACGCTGTTCGGAGCTTTTGGATATTATGCTGTTCATTGCTCCGGCCATTATGCTGTTCATTGCTCCGGCCGTTATGCTGTTCAGAGCTTTGCCCGTTATGCTGTTCATTGCTCCGGCCGTTATGCTGTTCAGAGCTTTGGCCGTTTTGTTGTTTGGAGCTTTGAGTTTTGAGCTGTTCTGTCCTCCTGGCATTACGCTATTCTGTTACACTGTTCAGATCTCCACCTGTTACGCTGTTCATTGCTCCAGGCATTATGCTGTTCAGAGCTCCACCCGTTATACTATTCAATGCTCCGGCTGGTATGCTGTTCATAGTACTCTGCGTTATGCTGTTCGGAGCTCCGTGCGTTACACTGTTCGTTGCTCCAGCCGTTATGCTGTTCAGAGCACTGCACGTTATGCTGTTCATTGCTCTGGCCATTATGCTGTTCAGAGCACTGTGCGTTATGCTGTTCATTGCTCCGACCATTATGCTGTTTAGAGCACCGCGCGTTATGCTGTTCAGAGCACCGCGCGTTATGCTGTTCAGAGCACTGTGTGTTATGCTGTTCATTGCTCCGACCATTATGCTGTTCAGAGCACCGCGCGTTATGCTGTTCAGAGCACCGCGCGTTATGCTGTTCAGAGCACCGCGCGTTATGCTGTTCAGAGCACCGCGCGTTATGCTGTTCAGAGCACCGCACGTTATGCTGTTCAGAGCACCGCACGTTATGCTGTTCAGAGCACCGCACGTTATGCTGTTCAGAGCACCGCACGTTATGCTGTTCATTGCTCTGGCCATTATGCTGTTCATAGCACTGTGCGTTATGCCGTTCGGAGCTCTGCGCATTTCGCTGTTCATTGCTCCGCATGTTACCCTGCTGAGTGCTCCAGGTATCGTGCTGTTCTGTTCCAGGTGTTATGCTGTTTGAAGCTTTGAGCGTTACGCCGTTCAGTGCTCCAGTCATTACGCCAATCGATGCGGCTTTTGTTACTCCGTTCAGAGCTCTGCATGTTATAGTGTTTGGTTCTGATGTGTCTCGTTTTCTGGGTATTCCTGCTTCACTGAAACTGCACTAACCGTTAACCCAGCTACCCGCAGGCCCTGTGAAGCCGCTGCTGACACCCCTGAGCAGGGGGCAGGAGGTCTGGTGGAGTTTGCTCGGAGAACCTGATGTTTATCTTCTGTGTGCAAAGGACTATTCCTCCCAGTGGGAGATCAGGACCGCGATAGGAGGAGTGAGGAGGCTTTATACTTCAGCTGTTTTCCAGGGAGGAGTGACTCATTGGTTCTTGTGTTAGAGTCACTGGGGCCTGACCAAGCTGCACTTTCCGGCGTGAATCTCCCATGAACCCTAAGCACTTTCAAACAGCAGTACTAAGGGTTAGCAAACTGGCTAACTGAAGGGTTTGCAGGTGTGCAGGCGGTCTGCAGAGCAGACTGCTTCCTACACTGAGTGTGGGGCTTAGGGTTGGGGTTAGGGTTGGGGTTAGGGTTGGGGTTAGGCTGTGCTGCCTTTGTTATGACCCCTAACATGGGGTACAGCAAAGCCCCTTAACCAGCTGCTTGGACTAGATCTTCTCTTCTCTCTCCTCTCTTCCCTCTCTATGTGCCTCCACATTTCTGTCTCGTTCTGTCCTTTCGTTCTGTCCTTCGTGTCCCCCCACACCGCCCCCTCCCCACCCTGGTCTCGTGTCTCCTGACTGTGTGGGGTCACAGTCGCTTGTGGGGCTGGGGTGCCGACGGGCCGTCCAAGCAGCCCTCTCCCCTAGCTCCGCCCCACTCCACCCCCGCCGCCCCCTCCCTCAAGGCCCTCCGTCGCGCTTACTCTCCCAGGTAACACGCCTCCGGCTGCTGGGGGTGTCACAGTATGCGGGAGGGTCACGTGTCACCCTGGTGCATACGTCGGTGTCACAGTGATTCAGTGGCGATACGCTGCGTGTCTTTGGGGAAGCAGGCGGCCTGTGTCCTTCCCGAGGATCTTTTCATGTCACTGTACGTCCATCAGTGAGGCTCACGCCCTCTCCTCTCTCCCGGAGGCTCCATATGCCTCCCAGAGCCTGAATACTGTGACACCTTCTGTCCGCCAGCTCCTCTTGCTCTTGTCGGGGGTGGGGGGGGGGAGGTGACCTGGAGCTGCGGGGGCTTGGTCTGCATGTGTCCTGGGTTCTGCGATGGCTGCCGTTCCTTTGCTGACTTCTCTCATCGTTGTCATTCCATCCCGTCGTTTTATTTCACGTTTCGAGCTGACGCTGGTGTCCATCGCTGCTGTGTGAGGTCACTTTGGCAGAGTCTGGATGGGGGAACGTGAGTGATCACGGTATCTGCTGTTGGTCCATCCCACTTGCTTCGGGCGTGCTATACGCTGGGCCTTGTTAGCGGGTGACTGTCCTTCACTTCCCTGAGTCTCCCTTCGCTGATCTGTATTCTATGGCATCACCTTCATGGTTCTAGAATGATGCTAAAAGCAGTCATGTTAGACCTGAAAACCAAATTCCCCAAATTATCATCTCCAATCTTTATACCGCTGAAGGACAGTTCCCCGTCGCAGGCCATGTCTCATGACGTGCTTGCGGCTCGCAAGCGGCCTGTGTGCTCGCCCTCTACCCTGGCCTGCTGTAAGAGAATCCCTCCCTGTGCTCTCGTTGAAAGCTTGTTGGAGTATGACACGGAGAACATGAACTCAGATGAGATCTACAACTCCCTGCGTGGCGTCACCGAAGCCATCCAGAGCTTCAGCTACCGCAGTCAGGAGGACCTGAATGAGCCCGTGAGGCGCGAGGGCAAGAAGGACGACGCCGTGAGTGTGCCTGTCACCCGTCGCTCCCGCGCATCTCCCATGGCTTTACAGTGTGAACAGACACACCTGATGTGTGTTCACTGTTTACTTGGGTTAGTGTGAGTATGTAATCGGGTAACTATGTCAGTGCTGCAGCTCTGGCTCTCTCCCCAGGTCGGCCGGGAGGCTCTTCTGGCCGGTTCTGGCTCTGACCCCCGCCTGGGCATTGACGTCATCGAGGGGGGACGTACGGCGCTGGATAACAAGACATCACTGCTCAACACGCCGTCCCCACGCTCCTTCGCTGGGCCCCGGGGCCGTGAATACAGCCCCTACAGCTATGCCGACACCATCAATGCTTACGACAAGAGCGCCCTGAAGGAGGCGGTGTTTGATGATGACGTCGAGCAGTTCCGTGACGGTAAGACTGGTTGATGTCACAGGACTGACCCCCTAACCTCCCATTGGGATGTGTGTATCTGTGTGTGTGTTTGTGTGTGTGTGTGTGTTTGTGTGTGGGTTTGCATAGATCACATTTGAGGAGCAAATTGTCCCCAAAGTGTAGTAAAGCATGAAATTTCCTTACTTTTGGGGACCTGAAAGGTCCCCATTTGGATAACCTCAGTTTTATAAAAATCTGTGAATGCAATCAAAAAAGTAAAAATGCCAAAAGTCTTGTATTTGGGTTGGTTACTTATGGTTAAGGTTAGGGATGGGTAGGGGTTAAGGGTGTCGTGATTGGGATTAGGGTTTTTCCCCATAGAAATGAATGGACGGTCTCCATAAACATAGGAAGACCAACTTGTGTGTTTGTGTCTCAGTGTGTGTCGGAATGTGTGGCTTTGTGTGTGTGTGTGTGTGTGTGTGTCTGTCTGTCTGTCTGTTTGTCAGCACCTTAAGGCACCCACATAAATTACCTTCCCCAGCCTCCACGGGCCCCCCCCCTCCTCCCCCCTGTCCCAGTGTGACGACATGACATCACCTCGTCTCCACCTCGTCACCTCGTGTCTGCTGGTGACCGACTTCAGCAATGGGGGAGCCTCGTCACACCTGAATGTGGCTTCCCCCATGTCACGTTTACACCGTTTACACTAAAAACATGCTCACCTCACCCACAGGCGGCCCCCAGCTGTCTACATGACCTTTATCGTTTGTCTTCCGGTCGCATCATGTAGACTGGACAGGGCTGTGTGTTGCAATGTATGCGATAGGCATGTCAGCCCCAAAGACACAGTCTGGACGGTCGTGCAGTGACGTGCAGGGAGAAGCCGTGCAATGGGGCAAGATGAGCTAGTGAGCTGAGAAAGGAAGAATCAGGCTTGAGTGCCACAGCAGAAGGTTCTGGAAGGGTGAAGTCACAGCCAGGCAAATGGGTCAGGTAGCTGCTGCGTGTGTGTGGCGGTTTTGTGATTGTCACCGCGCTCCTTGCTGTCCCCTCAGGCCGGCGTTCAGCCTGTGGTGAAAACAAGATGTCTCACACCAAGGGGGTTTCTCCCGGTAAAGGCACGCCGCCCCCTTGTCCTGCCCCTGTCTGTCTCTTATGTCTCTTTATGTGCACGCCTGGTAACCTTGCCCCCCATCCCATTCCATCTCATCCATGTCTGTCACTGTCCCAGACGAACGTGAGCAGCAGCCTTGTGACTAACGTGATGTGAACTCTATATCTGAACATGCTTGCTTTCATGCATGCAGGATTCTAGAGTTGGACAATATGTCTATACGACTCAAACCATTGTCATGGGTTTTTAGTAGGGGTGCTCCGATCGATCGGCCGAAGATCGGTATCGGCCGATAATCACATTTTATGACTCGATCGGTACTCGTTAAACTTGGCCGATCTTAGGAACCGATCACAATTGATGACGTCAATGCGTGAGGACGTACACGATGAGTGGGGACGTACACGATGAGTGGGGACGTAAATGTTTTGCCGCCGCAGTCATGTCATCGCCGGTGTGGAATTTCTATTACTACTTCTTTGTGATTATTTAGTCTTAAAACAATAGTTACATTAGATATATTACTGTAAAAATATAACCAAAATATAACAAAGGCAACATTTATAGTATTACTTTATCTGAAAAAAGTTAATGGTGATCAGAGAGCTTACATATCAGTTATATAAACTTGAAGCATCAGAATCGGCATTGGTATCGGCCGATCACCATGACAAAAAATCGGTACTTGGTATCGGTGGTAAAATTCCTGATCGGAGCATCCCTAGTTTGTAGTGGTTCTAGCATTAACTGATGATGTCAGTAATTCACAACAAATCCAGTTATTCTACTAACTAAAGTAACACTAACCTCATAACACAGTTTTACTAACTTGAGTAACCAAAGCAACCCTGAAGTAAAACTGAAACAACAGTAAGCTTATGGATCCTAGGGGGAGGTGATTGCTGGATGTGTCTTGCTAGCAGGATATGTACATGCTGGCACTGAATAGGATGAGCACCCACCTAGACACTCCTGAGTGGTGGGGGAGAGCAGATAGCCCTCTCTGACTCTGACTACCCTCCTGTCCCGAAGTGCCCCTGGACCGCTCCGAGCTGGTTGCCGAGCTCCTAAAGGAGCTGTCCAATCACAATGAGCGTGTGGAGGAGCGCAAGGGGGCGCTGGTAGAGCTCCTGAAGATCACGCGGGAGGACAGCCTTGGCGTCTGGGATGAGCACTTCAAGACGGTGCTGCTGCTGCTGCTGGAAACACTAGGCGACAAAGATGTGGGGGTCCCCTTCGCCACATATAGACTGCACATGTAGAGAGACCACACAGACACACATGCACATGAAGAGAGACTGCACACACAGACCACGCATGTGGAGAAACCACACACAGACTACACGTAAAGAGACACCGCACAGAGAGACTGCATGTGAAGAGAGACCATACACACAGACCGCACATGTAGAGAGAAGGCACACACACACACGGGCACGTGAAGAGAGACCACACACATGGACTGCATGGGAAGAGAGACTGCACACACAGACCACAAATGAAGAGAGACCACACACACAGACCACGTAAAGAGAGACCGCACACAGACTGCACACACTTTCACATATTAAGAGAGACTGCACACACAAACGACAGTCACACACACGTAAGTGAGGACAGACTGTGCACACACACACAACTTTACCATGATAATCTATTATTACATGTAATAATTCCAAAGCCAAAACAGCAAGTTGTGCAGAATAAATGGCAGCCTAGTCATTAACAAGCCCCCCTGTCCCTACCTGCCCACCACACAGCACACCATCCGGGCCCTGGCTCTGCGTGTCCTGAAGGAGATCCTCCGGAACCAGCCAGCCCGATTCAAGAACTATGCAGAGCTCACCATCATGAAGACACTGGAGGCCCATAAGGACTCTCACAAGGAGGTAAGGGGCTCACAGCCCCCCCCCCACCTCGGGCTGCTTGTGTTTTGATTGGATGCTGCTCTTGCTTTGATGGCCGTAGCTTCACGCTTTCCCCGCGTACCTGCACTCGTGACCCCGCCCCCTTCCCCCACAGGTGGTGCGGGCGGCAGAGGAGACGGCCTCCACCCTGGCAGGCTCCATCCACCCGGAGCAGTGCACCAAGGTGCTGTGTCCTATTGTGCAGACGGCCGACTACCCCATCAACCTGGCGGCCATCAAGATGCAAACCAAGGTCATCGAACGCATCGTCAAGGACTCTCTGCTGCAGCTTCTGCCCGACATCATACCTGGGCTCCTGCAGGTCCGTCCGCATGCTCTTGCTGGGGGGAGGAGGTTCTATTTGAAATTTACACAACACAGGCCTGTTTTGTCAATCCTGTCTTTTTATAGAAAAGCCTGCATTTCCTGTAGAGCCCTGTAGGGCGTGCGGGAGCGTGCCATGCATGCACGCGTTTGCGCTTTCAGCAGGTGCGTGTCTCCCATCCGCAGGGCTATGACAACACGGAGAGCAGCGTCCGCAAGGCCAGCGTGTTCTGCCTGGTGGCCATCTACTCCGTGATTGGCGAGGAGCTGAAGCCACACCTTTCCCAGCTCACGGGCAGCAAGGTACGATCATATGACCTCACGGTTTACCCGTCCCAGCAGCCAAGGAGCCATCCTGAACCGGTGTGGGGATGGCCTAGGGAGAGCAGCCAAATCAGGAGTGACCAGGAGCACCCTGACTGGATCGAGCCGGCTGCTCTGTCACCTTGTCTGGGCTAAGTGACAGGGGCACATAGTTCTGGTTCTGTGCAAGAATCATCCCTGGGAGAGCGAAGGCTCTGTATGACATCTGGGGTTTGGACCTGGCCCACGCTTGGCCTCTCGCTGTGTGCAGCATTCTGTTGTCACATGTCTAGCTGCAGTGTATTGTCTGCATGTTAGTTCAGTATTAACTAGAATCATTTACTGAGTACACCGAGTCCTCCTGTGTGAGGTGTGTGAATCTCTCCAGCCAAAACGCTAGAGCGGGGGGCCAAATACCTGCTCCTCATTCATCTAGATATTCCTTGAGGTGATTTGGGCCGAGACCATGGCGTTTCCTGGAGTTTGAACCTTTTATGCCCAGTTAGTGAAGTTCACCAGTGTACTACCTAAAATTGATTGATCCTTGATTAATCTTGGTGTGGGCACTATATGGACAAAAGTATTGGGGTACCCACAGGAACTTTTATGATATCCTATTATAAATCCATCAGCATCACTATGGAGTTGGTCCCCTCTTTGCAGCTATAACAGCTGCCACTCTTCTGGGAAGGATTTCCACCAGATTTCAGAGTGTTTCTGAGGGATTTTTTGCCCATTCATCCAGAAGAGCATTTGTGAGGTCAGACACTGATGTTGGATTTGAAGGCCTGGCTCACAATCTCCGTTTTCGTTCATCCCAAAGGTGTTTGATGGGGTTGAGGTGAAGGCTCGGTGAGGGTCAGTCAAGTTCTTTTTCACCTAGCCATGTCTTGGTATGCATACCAGTACGTTGTGGACAACTCTATGCTTTCAACTTTGTGGGAACAGTTTGGGGGAGGCCCTTTTCTGTTCCAGCATGATTGTGCCCCAGTGCACAAAGCAAGGTCCATACGGATTTAGAATGGGATGTCATGAAGGTTCCTGGGTGTAATGAGCAGGTGTCCCAATACTTTTGTGCATAAAGTGTATGACCGTTTATACAGCATGCCAGTCAAGATGCTTAGGGGCCCCGCGGTCCTGACAATGCTGAAGCCACCCCGCCCCCCGCGCCACTGCCAGAGCTGATGGTGCCTCCACGTTTTCCCTACAGATGAAGCTGCTCAACCTGTACATCAAGAGGGCCCAGACCACCAACAGCAACAGTAGCAGCTCATCGGATGTGTCCACACACAGCTAGCCAGTCTGCGGCCCATAGCTGCCCCTACCCCCCACCCCGACGGTGGCCATGCCTCCTTCCAGACCTCTCCATCTGTGTTTGCATCAACACCCACCTCCCCTTCCCCCAGAGGTGTGGGGGGGGGGTCATTGTACATGTTTCAGCCAGTGTTTACTATACACGATTTCCTTTTACCTTCATACTTCTGGATGTGGAGTCATTTTGCTGATATTTCTCCCTTTTCTGGAGCGACGAGGTCTCACCGGGTGGGATGTGGGACAATCGCTGCCTGTTCTGCAGCCTTGCTGTTACTCAAGTCCTTCTGAATTGATGGCTTAGCTGACAATGTTATGGTTTTTTTTGGCAATGAAACAAATAAGGGCAAATGACATCCGCTTACTGCGATCATCTAGAGACCTTTGAGCTGCCCCGCTTTGCCCTAAGAGCGGATTCTCATCATTCCTGCAAGTGGCAGCAGCCTTGAATAAAGGGCATGTTCCGAAGAGCGTGTCCTGCTGGATCTGTGAGAAACGGCTGGGGTCGCTCATCTAATCGTTCACTATTTGTCACGGCAGACGATCATTTGGCTGGCCGAGTGATTAATACATGAGGGTCTAGTGTAGTATTCCAACGCTGAGCACAGTAACAACCAAAAATATAGGGTAATACACAGAATTATTATTTTTTTTAATTTCCACGTTATGTGTTTTATTTAACCAAGGACCGGGAATTAGTGAGAATTTAGTCCAGACAACTAAACAGAAATTCATTGAATACTTTGCTTTTGACATTCATCATGAAGAGTAGATAAAAAGTTTTGTTTATTATGATTAATCACATTACACGAATGTTTGGTAATGGCCACTTAAGGTGAAAGTATTAAGCTGTCTGACTGACTGGCGACTTGCTCAGCTTCAGGAATAAGCTGTGCTTCTGTGAGGTCCGTATGGCCCATAGTTTGTCTAATTACAATCATTTTTTTAAGAAAAAATAATCCATTATGAGGAAATATTTATGGGAATCGTTTGTTTGTTTTTTCCTGGGGAATCCTTGACAGTCTGAAACACTAATTTGTAAATGGGAGAGACTGAGGACATGTGTCCTCAAGAAACGTGCCAATTGATGAAGCAGCTTGAATGAAACACGCCCCCCGCCCCGCGCTCCCAAACATGGTATGTCGCAGGACATCCAATGACATTTTACACTCCAGCCTTCGTCAGAAATTCCGTTAGTCAGTGCACTGTATAAATGTCAGACGTTTCTCCGCTTAAATTTTTATTTATTTTTGTTTTCCTGTGGCCGTGAAAGAGAGGAAGGGCTGTAACGTGTTGCAGCGGATTTGCGGTTCCCCAGTTCCGATGGTGACATGCCTGACACTAAAGCCCATGTCCCTTACGCATTACGTCACAGCGATGGACACTAAAGACACTCTCAGGCCTTACTCGCATTTTCAGCGTACTGTTTTCACCACACAGACTGTTATACGGGCGGCACGGTGACGCGGTAGCCAGCAATGGGGTCTGCATGCTCTCCCTGTGCTGCGGGGGGTTTTCCGGACCCTCTGATTTCCTCTCACAGTCGAAACACATGCAGTTAGGCTGATCGACATCTCTAAATTGCCCGTTGTGTGCGTGAGCTCGTGTGCCCCGCTATTGACCGGCACCCTGTCCAGAGTGTCCTGCTGCCCAGATTGGGTTCCAGGCCCAGCCCTGTACTGGAACAGCTGTAAGATGGACGGTCGTGTTGAATGTTAAGTGGTGCTACTGTGTGCTCGTCCTTCTCTGCAGTGCGCGAGCCTGTGTAGTTCAGAAGGCCTCATTTTGTGACGATGAAGAAAGGTCTGATGTCAAGAAAGGCCTTCTAACTCACCTGTACCCAATGTAACCAGTTTTCTGCAATTAAAAAAAAGACGCACCCTTAAAATATTTTGTACATTTCTTCCAGTTGCTGCTTCGCAAACTTATTAGAAAGCAAAAAAAAGGTCAAAGAGCTCTTGTTTTGCACGTTAACAGATAACCTGCATGTCTCAGAAACCCACCCTGCTGTGCTGTGACTGGTTCTGATCCGAGTCCCTTGGCTCCTCAGCTCGGCCTGTACATACAGTATTAATCTGAACTGGAAAAGCAATCAAACACTACTTGAGCTATTTTTGGGTCTGTGCACCCAAACTGAGGTGTAAGATAGTCAAGCCTCTCAGAGAGCAGCCTGCTGACTATGGGTATGAGATCCTGACTCGAGACGGTCCCGGGACGTCTGGGTGTGTGGCTCGGTGCCCGCCACCCAACATGCTAGGCTGGCTCTGACGATACTTGCAAACAGACCTGCTTCACACCAGTCGAGATGAGTACGTTTCCAGTACAGTTACTTTGAGCCTTTTCCAGATTTTTGCTTAATTCCTGTCTATAGGGAGAAAGTCTTTACGTTTCGCAGGAGATAGCGAGTCTCCAGAAAGGACCGTGCTCTTTGGCCATTACCGTGGAATCCATAGCAAAATGTTGATGAAGCATGTTTTGTTTTTAAATTTAATTTTAATTTTTTTTTTTTTTTGCTTTTGTCATGTAATATCAATATGTATTTATATATTGTTTTATTTTGTGTGTATCATGACAGCTGTACAGATTTAATGTTTGTTCTTGTTTTTATTAATAGCCACATGTGATAGAATTTGCAGACAACAAATTATAAACATCAGTTTGCTCTAGAAATAAACCAAATTCAAAGACCTCTTATGGCTGTGTTTCTGTGGCCGGACTTTCTTCACGTTGGGCTGAGATTGCTGAAATGGCGGCCTGGGACCCAGTTTACTGACTTTGCATTACATTTTAAAACAAACCTCATTGCCGTGGTCCACAGTGTAAAATATTAACTTGCAAGACCACATATCTGTTTAGATTCCTGGTGCTCTAACAGAGGACAAGGGACAGTTTTCCCAAGCATGGACAGCCTGAATAGCAGACGCCAATAACTAGTCGTCTCCATACAAATATTAACTGCACAGGACCTATGCCCAGTCTGAAACGACCAAGTGAATGTTTGGTCGGCAGTCAGGGCATGTCGAATTGCTAAAAGTACACAAGGGTTAATATCGCATTTAATGACGTTTTTAAACGGACTGAGCCCACAGAGCCTGTGTGTCGGTGCGCGTCGCAGAGGTCGGTTTGCCGAAGGGGGTCAGGGTGGCTCCTTTATAAAAGCGTGCGGGGGCGCCTAGCGGCCGCCAGATGTCTACTGTCTACGGCTCTCCGGCTTTGGGATGTTCACAACTGTACTTCTCTAGCCTGCCATACGTGTAAAACATGCTTTTTTGGCACTCTCAACCAGAACCGTACACCCAGCATTCACTCCGGTGAGTCCAACTTTTTGAAATAAACAAATGATGCTATATTATGTCGATGAAACAACATGCTTTTTTCTGCGGAAATATCACTTTGATTTTCGGCAGTATTATATTCAGACATTTTTTAAATATTGTCCTTTTATTCATTTTTTTTAAATTAGCCTATAATATACTAACGGTACTTGCCGGGTTTATAAGTCGGGAACTGACTTTGATCGTATTAATTCGTTTTTTTAAAAAGTTTTAACGTTTGCTTGTAAGGATCTAGCAAATTGTTTCTGTAATGTGCTGTGCAATATTTAGCGTGTATCGGAAGTCCTTTAATCTCCCTTCTGTAATTATTTGAAATTAAATACTTTGAAGACCTACGCCCGCTCATTGTCAACATTAAAGTAGGTAATATTACCAAGGTAAACTTTCGCCAGGTCGAAAGTGTATTTAGGTGCATCTGGTGCATGGCGAGCTGATCACAGGCGTTTTCATTGCAGATCTTTGTTCATCGCTCTGCCTTTTTCCTTTAGAGATGCATTGGCATCGTTCCTTAAGCACGAGGAGACTCCGCATATCTCCGAAAAGTGCGAAAAAATGCCGGCTTTTCAGTACGTCCTCTGCGCACCTACATCACCAGCGGTAAAAATACACGATGAAACCCTCACCTATCTGAACCAAGGTACTGTACGGTCTCGTCCCTTCTTCTCTTTAAGTAATTCTCCCCGTTAGGAACAGGTTGTTTTCTTCTCACCACATAAGAAAACATGGAAATCCATGCCGGGCTGACAGGCGCGATTTCCATCCAGCTGCATGTCCCCGGATTGATGCTAATTGCGTCGCCATGAGGAACTTTATTTATCCAAAGCCCATTTTTGCGCCACTACTGACCAGAATCTCAGCATGTCGATTGAAATCTGCACGACACAACACTGTTTCACTGTGGGCTCAGATAACTGGCTTGTTTTTTTCATTCTTATAGAGTGAATTTTTGAAAGTTTATTTCTTAGTAATTACCAATTTTGTTTTACATGTTCATGATTTCCTGCTTTTTGCCTTAGGCAACCGTGAAAAAAGCTGCATTTAAATTATTGAAGATAAAGATACTTTTGACAGATTCCAGGTTGCTGTGACCTGCAGTGTCAAATGCAACCAGTGTCTGCTGCAGAGCAGTCATGTCATTCTGTTATTGCTTATTTGGGCTGGTAATTCGCCTGACGTTTGCAGCCATTTCTTTTTGAACAGGGAATGCAATCTTTTGAACTGTTCATCTGTTAGGCTATATTCCAGTACCCTCAGGCAGGGATGTGGCTAGGAGTTCCGGGGCCCTGACAAAATGTCACCTTGGGCCCCCCACTCAATTTTGCATATATTTTTACATATTCAAGAGCCCCTTTCAAGTGCTGGACCCCCTGAATCTGCCAGGATATCCATGTCCCTCTGTTGCCCCCTCCGGCAGGTTATCACTCTTTAATGGGCAGTATAGCTAATAGGCCCCACTGAATCGCAGTAGGATGCATTCAGCATGACATCATTGTCACATGTAGGTGTTTGTTCACACAGATCAATCTATCAATTTTAGGATCACTAAGATTTGGCGTAGGAAATCTCTGACATCACCACTTTTTGACAATCGTTTGTCAGAACATACATTTATAACCAGATTTAACTTGTAGGCCTATTTCTTTGTTCCTAAAAAGAAACTGTGTTTACCTTATGGGAAAACACTACAGATTTCAGAGTTTGTCATTGTTTTTATTGTTGCTGTATTACTGATGATTATATGTCTAGCCTTTTAGTTTGCATGTGATTTTGAGAAATTGATTCTTATGTCACTACGACCCTTTCAAAGGGTTATTCACTTATAAAAGCTTGTGTCTTAGGGGAACAAACACTACGCTAGTCTCCGCATTGTCAAACATTTTTCTAATTGATTTTTTTTTTTTTTTTAATTTTAATCAGGTTTGTTTTAATGTTTTAAAATGTAGGTCAGTCCTACGAAATCCGTATGCTTAACAGGAAACTAGTGGATTATACAGATATAAGCAGCAAATTTGTAAAGGTAGGTAAAATAATGTATTTTATGTGTTCCTCTCACTTTCTTGTCACTCTCTGATGTTCTGTTTCTTTAACATCTTTATTTCCTGGTTTGTCAACACAGAGTGTCCCCGCTGCTTTGTAATTTATCTGATGTGGTGGGGGGCACGTGCTTGTCGACCTCCGTACTGCCAAACAATCTCCCTCCTGTTCCATGTTGTGCATAATGTTATAACTTAACTCGTTTAAATAGCAGATTTCCACATATTTTTGTCTTGGGTATTTCTCTCTTTGAAGTAATAGCCACCTTTCGTACATGATGCAGTTTTAATCCTGTTCGATTTGCTGACTTTTTCACCTTTACCTCTTTCTTACAAAAGCACGACTTTAACAGAAGTGAAGATGTGACGTCATTATTTTAGTTTCGCACCAAAGGTTTGTGGGATTATTCAGAGAAAAGCAAGAATTACCCTTTTATTGTTAATTAATAAGGATACCTGCAACATGTAAATATATCCGGGATGTTTGGTCAGACATTGATGCCTTTCAGTAATTAATCCAACCTTTCAGTTGGTTTTTTGTAATTAATTGACTATTTTTGTAGTTTTTTTTCTCCAAGTACATTTCTAATATACTATCTAAGATCCAGAATAAATATTTTCCTTAAAATGTCCTTAGCTGTCTAAGCAGATTAAATTCAACATAATGTCACATAACTACTCATCATGTGAGAAATGTCTTTGACCTGTCATTGAAAAGGAGTTTGAAGTGCCAAATTCAGCTTCATAATCCCGGTGAAAGGGGGCTTTCATTCAGTTGTTAGTACAAGTGACTGTATGAGATTCACATAGAGAAAGCTATAATGTGTGAGGTACTTCTCCCATATACTAAAGTCATTACTCTACATTTAGGCAGCAGAAAACATGAACTAATACAAGTCAATACCAAACAAGCAGTAAAGTCTGTTTTAACTGGCTAGATTTATGTGAGTGGCATGTACTTCATGATAAATTATTAATTAGATCAATTGTTGGGCTCTCTTGGTCAACACATCTCTTCAACACTGAGTGGAGGCTGGGGACAGTGTCTTTGGACTGGCAGGCTGGGGTGGTGGTCCCAATCTTTTAAGAAGTCTCAACTTCAGGGGGATCACACTCCTCAGCCTCCTTCAGAAGGTCTATGCCGGGGTACTGGAGAGGAGGGTCTGCATATTGGTCAAACCTCAGATTGAAGAAGAATAATGCAGATTCTGTCCTGGTCATGAAATGCTGGATCAGCTCTTCACCCTCACAAAGATACTGGAGGGTTCATGGGAGTTTGTCCAACCAGTCCACATGTGCTTCGTGGACTTTGAAAAGCCATATGACTGTGTCCATTGGGGGGGTCCTATAGGGGGTGCTTCAGGAGTATGGGCTATGGGGTCCACTGTTATGGGCCATCTGGTCCCTGTATAACCGGAGCGGCAGTTTGGTTCACACTGCCAGCAGTAAGTCAGACTGGTTTCTGGTGGGTGTTGGACTCCGCCAGGGCTGCCCTTGGTCAGGGACTCCGGTAATAACTTTTATGGGCAGAATTTCCCATAAGGAGGTCTGGTTCAGTGACCTCAGGATTGCATCGTCGCTTTTTGCAGATGATGTGGTCCCGCTGGCATCCTTGGGCTGTGACCTGCAGCATGTTCTGGTGCGGTTTGCAGCTGAGTGTGAGGCGGCTGGGATGAGGATCAGGACCTTCAAGCCTGAGGTCATGGTTCTCAACCAGAAAAGGATAGAGGTGGAGGATGAGTATGTCAGGGTCTGGTTCACAATTGAGGGGACGGGAGATTGAGAAGTAGATCGATGCAACTTCAGCAGTAATGCAGATGCTGTACTGTTCTGTCGTGGTAAAGAGAGAACTGAGCCAGAAGGCAAAACTTTTGATTTACCAGTTTATCTATGTTCCTGACCTCACCTGTGGTAACAAGCTTTGGGTAGTGCCTGAAAGAATGAGATTGAGGATACAAGTGGTGTCTGGGCTCAGCCTTAGCGATAGGGGGAGCTGTTTGGACATTCGGGAGGAGCTTAAAGTAGAACCGCTGCCCCTTCGCATTAAAAGGAGACAGTTAAGGTGGTTTGGACATCTACATAGGATGCCTCCTGGACAGCTCCCTGGGGAGGTGATTTATTCATGTCTAACCAGGAGGAGACCCCAGGGCAGACCCAGGACATGCTGGAGAGATTATATCTCTCTGCTGGCCTAGGATTGCCTTGGTATTCCCCCAGAGGAGCCAGGGAACCTGCTCCCTATTTACAAGTTCCTGGTCTGTCTCCTGTAGCTCCTGCCAACTTTTGTGTGTCACTTTCACGCCACACAACAGGAACTGGGACCTTTATGCTAAATAAGTATGGGAGACACAATGTTCCAAAAAGAAAAGAAAAGAAAACCATCCAGTGAGAGTGGCAGTTCTCTGGGCAAAAAAACCTTTGCTGATGGCAGAAGTCAGAGAAGAATTGCCTGACCGGGTCAAGCTAATAGAAAGGCAACAGTAACTCAAATAATCAAGGTATGGGGAAGAGCATCTCTGAACACACAACACATTGAAGCAGAAGACCAGGTGCCACGTCTGTCAAGAACAGGAAACTGAGGCTACAATGGGCACAGATTCACTAAAATTGGAAAAGGAAGATTGGAAAAACGTTTCCTGGTCAGATAAGTCTCAATTTTTACTGTGAGATTCAGATGATAGGGTTAGAATTTTCTATAAACAACATGAAAGCATGGATCCATCCTGCCTAGTATCAACAATTCAGGCTGCTGCTGGTGGATTATGGTGTGGAAGATATTTTCTTGGCACACTATGGGTCCCTTAGTACCAAGTGGGCATCATTTAAATGCCTCACCTACCAAAGTATTGTTGCTAATCATATCCCTCCCTTTGTCACCACAGTCTACGCAGCTTCTAATGGCTAATTCCAGCAGGATAACGTGCCATGTCACATAGGTCATATCATCTCAGACTGGTTTCTTGAACAAGAAAATGATATCACTTTACTCAAATGGCCTTTGTAGTTACCAGATCTCAAACCAACAGAGCACCTATGGGATGTGGTGGAATGGGAGATTCACATCATGAAGATGCAGCCAATAAATATGCAGCAAGTGCATAATGCTATTATGTCAACATGGACCAAAGTCTCTGAGGAATGCTTCAAAGAGCTTGTTGAATCTATACTGCAAAGAATTAAGGCAGTTCTGAAGGCAAAAGGGAGTCCCACCCAGTACTAACAAGTTCTACCTAATAAAGTGGCCAATGAGTGTATGTCAGTGTTGTTGTTGTCCCTGATTTGTACAGATGTAACCTGACATTCCTGTAACTCTAAGATAGATGCCTGGAGTTTTAATTAAGCCATTCTGGCTGGCTGTCTGTCTGTTGGTCAGAGTTCAAGCTACTCTGGAATATCCTGATGTGTAGCTTTAAAAATATTTCCTCTCCATGGTTGTCAGTAAATCTTAGGAATGCAAGAATGCTGGTGGCACCTTCGCAAACAAGGTTTCTGGCCTGAGGCTGTGAAGCCTGGGTGCTCATGCAAGAAGCAGAAATGCTGGTAAAACCTGCTATTTTTTAGCTTGCAAGATCGTTTTTCAGGTCCTCACAATACGAACCTCAATTTTACGAAAATCTGTGAATACAATCAAAAAACTAAAAAAGTCTTGTATTTTGTTTGGTTACTTATGGTTAAAGTTAGGGCTTGGTAAGGGTTAGGGTTATCATAATTAGGATTAGGGTTATGCCCATATAACTGAATTGAAGAGTCCCCAAAATTAATGTATGAAGAGTGTGTTTGCTTGTATGTACAGTATGTGTGTGCATGTGCACGTAAATGTGTGTGCATGCGTGTCCATGTATGTGGACATAAATGTTTGTGCGCGTGTATGTGTCTGCATGTGTGTGTCTTATTAGTGAGGGTCTGCTTATAAACTACTCAGAAAGTAACTACTACCGGTAGTTGGTCAGGTTTGGTGTATTGTAAGAATAAAGATTTTACATCTATTTTTTCTTTTTAGTGTCAAATTTTGTATTGTCATTTTGGCAGTAAATATACAAGCTGTACTAATTGTTTTCATGCATTTCATAAGTGTTATTATGGGATTGCTTAAGCAAATTGTTGCCTGTTTCTTGGGTTTGGGCTCTTATTCTGTATGTTATACAGTACGTACTGACCATTGTGATATGCAGTGGATTCTTATGGCAGCAGGACACTGCAAGCTAAGCTGCTCCAGACACCATCCTCAGACCGATCACTGATTCTGATTCCATTATAGAGCTAAAACTTTGGAATGTGTAACTTTTCTTATAGCGTGACCCTGGGGACGCTTCTCAAATGAGCAGGAGATGAAATTCGCAGGAATCAAGGTTTAAGAGAAAAACCGGCTTTCCTGAGAAGGTCTTGTGGGGGTTTCGGTTAACATGGTGAAGCTGGTTCGTTGTGATCCTGCAGAGCATTGTGAGGGTGGTTTTCCACGACCGACGCTTGCAGTACACTGAGCACCAGCAGCTGGAGGGCTGGCGCTGGAGCAGACCTGGCGACAGGATTCTCGATATTGGTGAGCCTCGCTCACTGACATGGGGGGGGGGTCGTCTCAGGTGGTCCCCTCTTTTCTCCCATGTGCTGGAGGCCCCTTGGCTGTGTTCTGTGATGTCTGGCTGCCTGCAGATTTGCCTCTTTCCATGGGGATCGTGGAGCCACAGTCACACCCCCTGCAGCTGAACACAGTGGAGTTCCTGTGGGATCCCCTTAAAGGCGGCTCCGTGTTCATCCAGGTACCGGTCTGGAGCCCGGCATGCTATGCTCCTTGGGCGTGCCGCCTGCCCGCTTCCCTCACTGCACGCTGTGGCACGCTGCAGGTCAACTGCATCAGCACAGAGTTCACCCCGCGCAAGCACGGCGGGGAGAAGGGGGTGCCCTTCCGCATTCAGGTCGACACCTTCATCCAGAACAGGGGTCGAGAGTACCAGGAGCACGTCCACTCCTCCAGCTGCCAGGTCAAGGTCTTCAAGGTGAGGGTCCTACGAGGAAGATCTGCAAACTGCTGCTAACAAGAAGTTCTGCCCAGGTCACTCCTGTCTCCTTTTTAGCGGATTACTTTCATTGATCATATCACTTCCGTTTCTTCAGTCTAAGTGCAGTTAAATAAGTGCAGCAACTGTCTGATGCTCACGGACACACACTGTCTTGATCGGCTGTTGTTTCTGGGCATGGGTTGTAAGGCTGGTTGTGTGTGCTGTTCAACAACATTTAACGTTTGATGGTCGTTGTGATTAGTACAGATGTCGAATGTTGTCTTTCTCTTTTCAACAGACATGGAAGCAGATTATCTGTTTTGTTTTTTCTTGTTTTTTTTTTTTTCTGTTTTTTTTCTGTTTTCTTTCCATTCCTCTCTCTCCCTCTCTCTCTCTTCCCTCCTTCTCCTTTGTCCCCCCCCTCCCTCTCCTTCTTTTGAGGAAGTAAATAAAAATATAAAATAAAAAAATAAAAAAAGATAAAAATAAATAAATAATAATAATAATTAAAAAAAAATAAATAATAATAATAATAAAATAAATTAATAAATAAATAAATAGATACAGATAAAGTAGTCCCCCGCAGAGGGGGGGTGGAGGAGGGAATATAAAAAAAAAATTAAAAAAAACTGTCTGATGTCTGTGAATCAGAAAAGTACAGACATGAGAGTGCACTATGGCCTCACGTCTGAGAGTGAAGTCTCTGAGTTACTGGTTATCCATTTGCAATGGGCAAGTTAAATCTTGTTACTGTGTAATCCTGATTACTGTTCTACTGGAGGTGGCTGAAACAACTTTCTCTCTCCTGGAAGCCCAAAGGAGCTGATCGCAAACTGAAGACTGACAGGGAAAAGATAGAGAAAAAGTCTCTTCAAGACAGAGAGAAATACCAGCCCTGCTATGAAACTACAGTGCTTGCTGAGGTATTATTACCACAGTATCACTCCTTACGTTTCTCGGCCTTACACACCTTGATGCACATTGTTCATTTTGGTGCTTTTTGGGAAAGATGGTCGCAGTCTGACAGTGACAGCCTTACCATTTTGGAGCTTCTGGGGTCAGTTGATCTGGTCGGTTAACCTGGTGTTCCTGTGCTCAGTGTCTATAACTAGGAAGGGCGATCTTATCCGCAAAGGGCCGGTGTGTGTGCGGGTTTTTGGGGTAACCTTTAGGTCATCTGTTCAAACACAGGTGTGAGGACTCTTCAGCCAATCAGTCCTCTAATTAGTAACCTAATTAGGGAGTTGCAGTGAAATTCTGCATACCCAGCGGGCCTTTCTGGATAAGATTGCCCACCCCTGGATTAGGCTGATCTCAGAAACAGTGACTGCTAATTCCCATCTGCCAAACTTATTTGAGTGAAAGTTTTTCAAGTGACAGTTGAAAAGTAGGAGTCACTTCCTACAAGATGTTGTGTCTGTATGTTTCTGCGGAATAACCAATGTGCTGGTAATTAACCCAGAAGATACTAGTTTAAGTCACTACAGCTATTCAACAACATTTTTCAAGTGGTCTTAAACTGATCGGGACTGTATAAGGTTCTAGTTTTGAGGACAAATGCTGTTAATGTACCGGATACATGCCTGTGAGGCCACTGTTGGTACCAGTCAGCCTGTTTGGGTTGAGCTGTGTCTCTTTGCAGTGTACAGTGTACAGTGTACAGTGTACTGTGTCTCAATGTACAGTGTGAGGTGTGCGTTGCCAACTTGGCCAGTTTAACCAGTGGCGTGTGCCAGAGTGAAGGCTGGCTCAGCCGGAAACCTGTGGGGGTGCAGTGACATGCCCCGCATTTACAAGTGCACTGCTTCACCTGCGGCCCCTAGTGCTCGCCGTGGCCCGACGCCCCTGGCCTGTGCTGTGGCCCCCCCTCCCCCATGTACCGCAGCTCTCCGACCCCCTGCGGTCTTCTGGAAGGGTGAGCCCCCGTCAGCCGAGGGCCGGGTCTGCCCCTCCCTCAGTACAGTATGTGACAGTCAGAGACGCGGTGGCTCTCTTTTAGTAATGAGGACACCGTCAGCTTCTGTGCCCCTGTTTACAGAACAGCCGCTGAGTTAAAGCAGGTTTCTTTCATTAAGCAACAGTAGATCAACTGAAAAGATTCTTCCATTTGTTGCATTATTTAATGGTGATTAAATTAGTTTGGAAGTGAACTATCAAGAATCGTTTAATGGTTTTGGTTGTATGAAGTTCAGGTTTGACACATTGAATAGAGTATGGACAGCTCTGAGACACATCTTATGTGCAAGATAATCCATCAATATAGATTTTTTAAAAGTTATTAATTTTTTTCTGGGCTGTTACAGAAACTGCTCTCCTGACCAGCAGGGGGAGCAGATGCTGCCCAGTTGCTCTGATGTAAGTGCCAAAATACGCTTGCCACCCCTGTTTGCCGACTGTGGGCCTGTTTCCAGTACCGGGAGCCTGTGTGTCTTTTGCCCAACAGCACCTCCTGCCCACGTGGTCCACGCAGGACACACAGAAATGGCTTCATCGCCATCGATTCTCACAGTTCTGCAGGTTGTTCTCCAGCTTCTCAGGTTGGTGTTCAAGTGGGCTGAGGGGCCGGGAAGGCTGTAATTCAACATGGTGGCTAAGCGTCATTCTCGCACAGAAGGCAGTAATGGCTCATCTCATTGATGACGAGACTTGATTCACCTCTGGGCTGATCGTGCAGGTGGCCCTGGTGTAACAGCACTGGCTGAAATGTCTAAAATAAAGGAGCAGCGTACTTGCCATTTTTTCCCCAGTGACTTTAGGCTCCAGTACTTCAAGATTTGTTGTTTATTAATCCTGTGCGTCACATAGTCCCACTGATCAGCCATTTATTCACAGCTGCTGACCTATTGAAAATGTCCAAAGATGACTTCGTCCAGATCTGCGGTCCGGCGGATGGGATCCGGCTGTTTAACTCCATTAAAGGGCGGTGGGTCATCCGTGCCTCTTTGGCGGTGTACGGGACGCTCCGAAGACACCCGAAGGCTCTCTTTTATGTCCGTGTCCCCGTTTGTTTGTTTATTAATGACTCCGCTCCCCTTAGGTGCATACAGCCGCGCCTCACGGTCTACGTGCGTCACCAGCAGCAGGCTAAGCCAATGCCCAGCGAGGACGGTACGTTGCGTAGAGGCAGACCTGCTAGATAACTGTGGCACCAAAGATGAACCCCATCAGGGTGTTCGTTGCTGCGGAAGGCCCTGTTTCACCTCCAGTACCATAGCGTTTGAGGCCTGTGGGCCCTGAGCGGGTGTAGGGGTGAGACAACAGTGCCTCACAAGTACCACCAGAAACTGAACTTGCTTGGTTTTCCACTTTTTGAAGTGCAACATCAAACAATCAGATGCTATTTTCCCAATGACTTAATTTGCATTGGTATGCAAAGTATTTTACTGTTATTATCCAGCTGGAATAGGGGTCGGATATGGGGAGAATTTGGGCAATTCATGTCGCCCCCCTTCCTTTTTGCAGTGTACCATGCCATCTACCTGGATGAACTCACTGCGTCTGAGCTGAAGGAGAAGATCGCCAACATCTACAATGTGTCCCCACAGCGAATCAGCCGGGTGTACAGGCAGGGCCCGGCCGGAGTCCATGTGTTGATATCCGACGGGGTGAGGATAGGGCCCAGTGCATTCTGGGATGCGCTTGATCTTTGGCTCCGACGTTGTGAGTCAGGACCCTCAGATTACCCTAGAAATCAAGACAGCTTTCAAATTTCACATCTTTGACATTGGTATTACAGTATGCTGAGAATGTTATGAAAAGAGCAAGCTAACGCATGACAGGGAAATGTTGGTAGAGCACTTTCTAAATGCAGACCTGGGGCATGGTCATCCCCACTGAGGTGAAGCGTTCCAGAAACAGGTGTGTGTTACATTGGATCGACAACTTTATGTTGTGCTCACAGATGGTGCAGAACTTCATTGAGGAAACCTGTTTCACTGTCAGCACACTGAAAGGTAGCCACACGCTTCCTGTCTGCCATGTATGTTGTCCACACCATGCATCCTTCGTGACTTTCCTGATGTTACTGCACACACTGTAAGTTTCATGCTTTATTTTTTTACAGTTGGTGATGAGAACAGTGATGGCTACCACATTGTCCTCAAATAACCTCAAAATCAAGCGAAAGAAGAATTTCAGTGGAAAACTTCAACTTATTTTCATTACTTAAATAATTATAATTATAGTTTACAGGAAAAAGACAGTTCTACCTGATTTTTTGGTGTTGTTCATATTTTTAAACTACTGATTTAAAAATATGGAATACTGAATGGAATGTATAAATTATTTTTGAGTGTTTTTAAGTACAATGCTTGTATATAATTCTAATGTTAAGTAAGAGCTCTAAATCACTCCCTAAAGTTTGATTGTAAATGTGCACTGGACATTTTTTTATTACCGTCATATCTGTGAATGGTAAAGAAAGAGTGAGTTTTTATGTTTCTGTTGTCATTGTGGTTTCATTGTTCAGTTTAACCACCTGATATTTTAAGAATAACTGGTTAGACTGGTTAAAGGAGTTATTAGACTGCGTTTGGCCCATTCTGCAATTCTAAATCCTTCCTAGCTGCTGGTTTGAGTGGAATGCTTTGATCAGTGACGTATATGTTTTTCTCTAATACGGTACAGTGCTGTTTTATGTTCCTTTTACTCTGTTTTCCTGTCTTGATTCTGCAGGTAACTGGGTTACTGTTTATAATTGTTTAATTGTAGCAACATAGTTTTGTATATATGCTGCACACTGATATTTCAGTTTTTATTCTGGATAAAGTTCTATATTCTAAACGTTGATATGCATTGGTATTACGAACGTATTGTCAACAAAGCTAGTAAACAAAACAGTAAAGATTAAGGAGTTTTAATCAAGATGCTAGTGATTTTTAATTATGACAACTGGCTCTTTTCCTAACTAAAAGTTGCTCTCAGCCACTTTGTGAATAGGTGTTAGGAAAAAACTCTTAAAAACCTTTAGTTCGATTTAGGAGTACTCTTAGTGGTAAGATAAAATGCTTTGTGAATACGCGCCCTGATTTTATGATCGCTCCACCATTGTCCCCAAATAGACCCTACCATTGCAGTTTTAAGATCAAATAATGCAAAACTATGTGAGACATTTTTTTTTTAAATCTTTCAAGTTCACTGCAAGTAACCCATAATAAACAAACAATTAGGGTAATAAGATGTACAGTTTGTTTCTTCAGTTTGTTTTGTATTGTCAATTGTTTTACTCCGCAACCAATTAACTGCAACCGAGACAAATTCGACATTTTAGACAGTAAGATGATGTGAGCTTGTTGTCCAGTTAATTTTCAAAATTAGATAAAATTGATACGTTGCGGTGATGGTTTCTCGAGAATTACGCTATTGTGTTTAAGAACAAATGGTATTACCAGTAACATGGACTGAATGGTTAGAATGCATTGCTGATGAACAATAATGCAATCAACTGCACAGTCCAAACAAGCCTGTATGTTACAGCATAGGCCAAGATGTATTATTGCAAACCAATTGCTAATCACTGTCACTAAAAACCCACATATCTATCCCATTAAGCGTAGAATGGTTACCAATTAGGCGAGTATCCTGGTCAAGTACAGTAGCTCCATTGGGGACCCCTGACCTAGTGTATCTAGTGTATATGAAGGTATATGTATGACAATAAGGGATGAATTAAAAAAGTGTTTCATGCAGGAGCACTGTAAAAGGCGGGGGGAGGTGGGGGCAGTTACAGTAGGATGATTGTAAGGCTCCCTGAGTGACAGGGGCCCTAAAAAATTTGTAACATAATATGATTGGTCTAGGTTGGGGGCCCATATGATATGCTTTCATGGGGCCCAAAATCGCTAACGATGCCCCTGATTTCACGATCCACCCGGAAACATGCGATGCATGCAGAGTCGGTCAGTTGAAGTACATCGAGACGAGTCCCACTCTCGCAGGAGCGCAAGTCCATGCAGTGCGTCTTAGGGCTGCGAGGACACACTACTTCCCTTGAATCTATATTTTTTACTCAGTTCAACTGAAAATTGAACTGAATTTTTTTAAATGGCCCAGCTGTTTAGCCTATGATTCACCTGCTAGGCGTGTTGACAATTCTAATGTTAAATGACATCTTTAAATCACTCAAATCTAAAATGAAGTTTGATTGTAAATGTGCACTGGACATTTTTTTATTACCGTCATATCTGTGAATGGTAAAGGAAGAGTGAGTGTTTATGTTTCTGTTGTCATTGTGGTTTGATTGTTCAGTTTAACCACCTGATATTTTAAGAATAACTGGTTAGACTGGTTAAAGGAGTTATTAGACTGCGTTTGGCCCATTCTGCAATTCTAAA